ACTGACCTAGACTAAGCATGTCAAACTCACGAACCCCAGGCCGCATGTGACCCACAGTGAGTATTTTTGCGGCCCAGCCAATATAACGGTATGTAAGAAACGTTTTAATACAAATTTCGTGACTTAATTTTTACAATATCCTGTTATACATAATTATTAATAACGAGCTATAACGTTCGCTAATGACTGATTACTGTCATCGTGTTGCATTCATTTCCCTTACGCGCCTTACATGCAGGTGCACCATTTCTCTCCACTAATATTAGCAGCAAATATTTTAGCAGCTGATGGTCACGGCATTAATCTTGGACTGACTTGTTTGGTGTACACAACAAGAAATATTTTGCTTTCAGAGAACAAGAAAAATAGGTTTATTTGCTTTACGCTTATTAATTTGTGCAATTATTCAGTGTCTGGTAAGTTAATGTTCAAGAAAAAATATTAATTTTTATTTAAATGTTCTATTATTTTATGTTAACAATGGCTCATTTATTTCAGCCCTTTGTATTCAGCATGTCTCTGTCAAAATAAACCTACGTTTCTATGAAAATTTAAGCTTTTGTTTTTTTTCAGCCCACATCAACTTAAACCTTGTTTACTTGGCCCATGTGAGCCTTTGAGTTTGACATGCCTGAGCTAGACCCATTTATAGGCTACAGGAGGTCCTACATTGTCAGCAAATTGTCGGTAGGCGATCATTTGCCAACTGCATTAGACTTCTGTGTGTAACACAAAGCTGCGAAGTCCAAACAATCATTGGTTTTAATGGCTTTGAAGAAGGCATAGCATTCTATCCAAACTAAGACAAAAACCTTATAAAAATACACTATAACAGCTGGCAACTGTTGTGTGGAGGGGCTGTGTTAGTTTTTCCTCTGATTTTTTTTTTGTAGTTTAATAGTTTATTAAATAATTATTGAGCACCTATATATGATAGGTATTAATAGCTTAGTGATTAAGGGCATGGACTTTAGGTCATGCAGTAAAGGGCCCACTATCAGCTATGCCATTTTTTTTATTTTTTTTTATTGCTTAAAGTATTACAATGAGTATTACATATGTCTCCTTTTTTTTTCCCTTTGAACTTCCCCCAGCCTCCCCTATCCCCCAGTGTCTTGTGTCCACTGGTTATGCTTATATGCATACAATACAAGTCCTTCAGTTGATCTCTTACCGCCCCCCACAACCCTCCCCGACCTTCCCACTGTAGTTTGACAGTCTGTTCGGTGCTGCTCTGCCTCTGTATCTACTTTTGTTCATCAGTTTATAATGGTTTTTGTTATCCATAAATGAGTGAA